CGAGCGATGTACCAGCGGTTCGAACGATGTACCGGCGACTGAACACTGCTTGAAAGTGGCGGGAGTCCCTCTCGTTCGCACGGTGACTCTCGCCATCTTCCGGGCTCTCATGCCCTCTCACTCTACACGTCCACGTGAGCCTGGGGACTCCTCGAGTTGCTGGTACTTCGTTCGAACCTTTAGTACATCGTTCGAATGGCTAGTGCATCGCTAGTACCCCGCTGTTTGCTAGTAAATCCACGGATTCGCAAGGTCTGACACCTGCCTATGGTAATTACCGTAAAAATTTCATACCGTCCCTGATTGTTAGAGTGTAGTCATAAAAAGCAGAAGGGATGTCCATATTAGAAACTCTTGCCCCTCAGTACGAGCACGCAGTTGGGTAAACAGGGGCAAGTATTGGTTAAAGGCAAACCCCGGGATTAGCCCGACTAGTAGGAAGGATACCACGAGGGAAATTGTAAGGTCCGTACCTACCTAGATCACTCCAGCTTCGTCGCAAAAATTGCGCGGTTAGGGCGCTAATCCTTACGGGCCTGCAACCATCGACCCCGTTGCAACGCTTCCCACCCACCGCGAGAGATGTGAGATCAGCGTGCTCTCTCGCGTATTTTGTCTTCTTTGACCGCCCTGTCTCGCCATCGTACCACATCCGACCTTTTGAAGGTTAAGGCCTTAATTTCAGCGTTCCAAAGATTTCTCTTGCTTTCCTTCCACTTTCAGGTCGTTCCGCAGCTAAGCTATCACTACAAGCGCTGATAGCACCAGTTCAATCCCGGAGTTTGCCTTTAAGGGCACGCAAGATCACTAGTAACATTCCAGCCAAAATGAGAGTACAGGTGCGAAATGGGCCGGCAGAGAAAGGAGAATGTGATGAGATCGCCGAAGACAGGAGCCTCCCCAGTTTCGTGTTAAGGCAATGGGAGACTGAGCACAGAGGGGAGAGGATAGACAAGGGAGCACAAGGGATTAGAGAATGCGGGAAAAGCGCATAATGGGTTGAGAAGAATTGGAAGTGATAAAAGCTGCCTTTGTGAGACCCACGACCGGCTCTATGCTCCCTTTCGAGTCGGCTTCCCCGCTTTGTCTGGTGAAGACCGAGCTGCCCCCGGCTGTCAGCCTTGGGAACAACACAGTGTATTCAAGCGATGGGACCTCAGCTGTAGGGAGGGGGGTTGCGCACCTACGCACCTATCCATAATTTACCTGGCAGCTAGGTTAACAACCTGGCCGCGTCCAATTTCTGCAGTGATAGCAGGCGAACACCAGCCACCGCAGGGGCCGGAGCCAATGATGCAATGGGCGCATTGCGCGGTGCATTGCGCATTGGCATCCGAGCGCGAATGGGCCGGGGCGCACGGTGCGCCCACAGGGGCAACCGTCGCATCCGCGACAAGTTCCTTTCTTCTCAATTTCCAACCAGTATAAGGCAGAGAATCGGAAAAGAGTTGACCATATCTATCCTGTATCCAGTAAACCTGTTTCAGGGATATCAAACCGCAAAACTTTGCAGCTGGCCTAGGAGAACAGCAAAGTACAGTGTACATGTTGGACTTTGGTATTGCGCGGAAATACACCGTGGGAGATACGAAGGAAGTCAAGTAGGTCTAGGGAAGCGTTTTTGAAAAGGCTCGGTCATAATGTTCGAAAGATATGGATTGATTCTATTTTCTGTTCAGATTACCAAGGGCCAAAGTAAGCTTTCTCGGTACGGTACGATTCGCATCAAGAGCATGTCATAAACAACTCGAACAAGGGCGAAAGGATGATTTGGAATGTTGGATCTATATGGTAAGCTCGGTTGATCAGGAAAAAAAATCTCCACTAGTAACGTGATCAAATATTGGGTGGCGTCTGCAGCCTGGGGACCTTCCGTTCAAATTGACCATTGCTGTTCGAAAGAGGATCTGCTCAGGTCTGGACCGCGCACCATGTAGGTATGTTGCACAGGCGCTTTCTTGCCGTTGCCCATTTCTTCTCGGATGAAACATCTCGGTAATTGGGAAATCAACACCTTCTCACCCAAACCTTTCAAGCCTTTTATTCCTTCGAAAGATCCATGTCGTCAGGGGGCAAGCGGGCCAATTACTGTGCTTGGACCAAGCTACAGGTAGAGGAAGGGTTCGAGCGAGCTCTCGTCTGTCTAGCGTTAGTCCCACGCATCGCAGGCCGCTTGTTTTAACGTCGTGCCAGTTCTTTTGCTCTGTCCAGGGCATCTTCCATCGTGGCCGCGACCTCACCTAGGTCCTTCTTGATTACGTCTTTCCACCTTTTCTTTCGGGGCTCCTCGCGGTCGCTTGCCTTGTACTTCGAAGTCCATCGCTGTTCTTATCGGATGGTCCTGTGGCCTCCTTAGCACATGCCCATACCATCGCAGACGCTGTTCCCGTACCTTCAGCTGGACAGGGGCAGTCTGCATGACCGCTCTGACATCCTCGTTTCTAACCTGTCCAGCCGCGTCCAGCCGCAGGCCCATCTCAGCATCCTCATTTCAGCGGAGTGAAGCTGCCTTTCGTGATTCTTGTTCAGGGGCCAGCACTCGCTGCCGTAGAGCATCGCAGGCCTTACCACTGTCCGGTACACCTTCCCTTTGAGCGTTCTGGAGCACCTTCGATCGCAGAGGATTCCAGTGGACTCCCTCCATTTCATCCATGCAGCGTTGACCGCCTGATCCACACTACCGTCGGCTGCCAGATCGCTCCCAAGGTATCGGAAGTCCTCCACTCTTTCGATGGTCTCACCATGGCCGTCTACGATCGGCTCTGCACCCTCTTCGGAGCTCAGGAACTTGGTCTTCTTGACATTCAGCCGTAGCCCACCTTCTGCCAGGACTTTCTGCACCTTGGCTTGAAGTTCCTCTCTACTATCCGCTATCAAGGCGATGTCGTCAGCGTAGAGGATGGTCTTCAGTGGTCCCTCCATGAGCCCCTTCACCAGGACATCTAGTGTTAGGAGGAAGAGGAACGGGCTTGGTGCACCCCAACCGTGATGTCCACCTCCTTCGTTAGGCCGTATGGGGTGCGTATGACTGCCCTTAGCCCCATCGTACAGTCCCTCTAGCACCTTTCCATCGCGTCTCCTGAAGGCATAGGACTTGGATATTCCTGCGCGTCATCAGATCAGCAACCTCTCGGGACTTCCCAGTTAGCGATCCTACGTTCAGAGTCCCAATTCGAACTAGCTTCTTTGGCCGAGGCCGTTCACTCCTCGGTAGCCCTCGCATACTGACCACAGAACTCGGGCGGGGGTTCTGCGCGCCACTTCCGGGTGACGTCCTAGCTTTATCACTGATTCTTTTGCGACTTTTAGACATGTTTGGTGTGACTGGGGTCTTCATCAGCCGGCCTGTCAACCTGGGCCTGACGCTGGTACTAGAACCATTTTTGCAATTTTTGCAAGGCATGGTTAACCTCGGCAGGGATCGAACTCGCGGTTTTCAGAGGTGCAGACATGAGTCTAACCTCTTAACCACTCGGCTATCCCTGCCTTTGGATTCTGAGCGAGCAAAGAAAACAGAAACGCTAATTTATGAGCATTAATGCTACATTCGCTTAGGTATTTGAGTTATTCGACGACGCCAATGGTTTGCCATGGAAGAGAGCGGATCGCTCGAAAGTCGTTCCACTTAAAGAGAAGTTCTGTGTAAGAATCAAAGTACGCAAACATTGAAAAAAAAACACGGACGACATTTCTCTCCATTAATCACCATTTAATGCCGACGGATTCAGTACGAAATGTTACAAAGTGGTTCCGGCCGATTTCAAGCGAATTGTCGAATACATTGATGGGATGCAATTTGCTGACGAGCCCGATTATGTGTTGGTTTTCCGTGCTTTTCTGACAATTGCTTTTATTTTCGCCTTTCCTTGAGAAATGTGGATTTCAACGTCCAAATATGCTGAGGAATTTCAGTAGAATTTTGATACTTAGTCACCAGTGGATGTGATTTTCACATAGGATCAAGTTAGAGGCAGAATTTCACGATGAAAAGTTGGCTCATTGGAAATAAGGGTAGAAGTGGTCAGTGGAGAAGAAGAAACCATTTGAAACGGCTCCAAAACCCGAGAAATGGTACCCCTTACTTGCCCGTTGATTTTGCGCTTTGATGCGACTCTTATCGTTGTGCCCTCTTCAACACTACGCTCTCTCTCTGCTATCTAATCACTCGCTCGCGTATAGACCTGCGGCTGATTAGATAGTCGGTGGGCGTACCCCGCCAACCGCGCCAAGAGTGAGCCATGCTAGATCGCCGAGGTCAAATCTTTCGCTGCCAATTGCGCGTCGGTCAGCACCCTCAGGAGGTCCGCCTGTCTCCCAACTATGCAATTTTCCCTTTCTTTGACCTTCGTTCTTGTCGTGAATCCTCCTTTAAAAGAGGACTCTGCGAATTCACATTGGAGTCGAAAGAAAGATGGAATAGTACCATGAAAATGAGGTTAGGCCCCTGAAGGGGGCAGCTTATAACTATTCTCAGGAAAGGGTAAAGGTCCCTAGCGGCATAGGCAGGGACGTGACAGCACCTCGAGAATGCTACACGCCATCGATGGGGTAAAGTCTTACCGCGTCGTGACTCTAGGCCGCTTCTAGTAGAAGAGCAGGTCGGCGTTTCGACAAGGGCGTCGCAGCACACCGATGGCAGTCGCTTAACATGGGAATCATCGGGAAACAAGGGTCCCGTTGTGGGATGCGCCACGTATTCACACTTGGTTTCCAATCAGCAGCAGTAGTAAACAAATAAGCGCCGAGAACTTGGCTTTAATACGAAAAACTACATTTTCAGTTATATAGTAAACTCGTTGAACAATATAGCAAAAGAGAACAAAATCGATCTTACACGAAAATTGGACTGGATTGGGGTTCCACCGAGGCCGATTAAGAAGAAAGAGAGAGGGTACGCTGTCAGATATTGTCATCCCAATAGTTCTTGGCCCAGTTGCATATTGCACAGGCATGCTGGACAAAAGGCACGTGGGATTCTGGGTTCCCCACTATTTGCAAAGAAGTGTCGATGGAGCAAACCTGACGAAAATGATTTTCTTATTATTTGAGTAAGTGGCAATCAAGACCATGTTTCCTCGAACGGCGGCCGAAACCCCTGGATGGCGGAGTGAGATCCCTCCCTTGACTTCCACTTATCACAGCAGGGGGGGGGGGCGGGGAGAATGGAGCAATGCTCATCGCTTGAGATTGGTATACTCGATGGACAATTACGATCAAAAATGTGCGCTCCACTCGGTACTTGAAGTGGTTAGGCGCGAGGAGAACCGCCAGTGTGACCCGACAGGAGGCTCCATAGCGGGACAAGAAGGAAGGGTCAGCGGATGAGTCAGTGACTTGGCGTCAAGTTAAGAAGAACGTGCCAATATACATACTACATCCATTACGCGCTGCGACTTGTCCGCTGACTCTGCCTTCTCGAGGTGCGACGAGCCTCCTGTCCGGTGCTTAATCGCCAGTGATGAAAAGCAAAAAGACCTAAAAACGGACCGTTAGAGCCCTGTTTTTGTGTGTGGGTGGACAACACCAAGGGACAACCGAGACACAGCTTGAGGAAGAAACACGGAAAGACGATAGCCAGGAGAACATAAAAGGCGAGCCGAGACGGGTCGTGCGTTCTGCAGTCGGAGAGCACAAGGCCGTATAAAAGCAAATTCTTCGTCGTGACCGGACACTCGCCGTGCGCCATATTCTGTTCTATTCTGTTGCCCTAAGCATCAGGTCAACACAAGCTATTCGCTCTTTTGAATCATTGAGATGCAACGAGATTATTGAGACCCACCTTTTAAGAGAATCATCAATCGCTGGAGTTTAGTAATGACGATGGTGGAAAGAGTTGCCCGGGCGCAGCAGGAGTGGCAATTGGCTGCGCGTCGTTGCCAATGCTGATCTCGTTTGACCGCTGTCCCGTAGCGCTTCGTCGCCTCTCTGAATTGCGGACGCAACCACTCATCAATGAGAGGGAGGGATTTGTTCCATGAATCTATGAGAATCGTGGCCCTTTAGCCTCATTTATGAGACCTGCCTCAGTCGGCCTTTGTGGGTGGCAACGTGTTCGCGCTTGCCGAAATTAGCTCAAGCCAGCGTCTATGTTTCATATAACAGAAAAATGACCGGGACTTTGCAATTTCGTCTGGATCTGAAACAAAATCACTTTCAGAAATCAGACGTGTCATCCGATAATCGTCAGTCTGGGTCGTCATCTGGCTCTTAATCCAATCCAGTCTTTAGTCACAAAGTGTGAGTGGTGCAGGAATCACCTTTTATCAGTGATCATGTGCTTCACCAATTCAACCCCATATTTTCAGTATCATTTTCAAACGGACAGCAATCGCAACTATTGATCGAGTATTGATCTATTTAGTGATTTTCGTAATGTGTCACACAGTTTCGCCAGTCTCGCCAGCATAAATGCTTAGATTTACCTTGCCTATTTTATTAATTGAAGTCTTCACAGAGTTTAGCGCGGAAATTATCTTAAAGGTGCCGAAAATGGGCACAACACTCGCGGTCGGACGAGATTCGAGCACTCACTGCACACAACTTCGGCCTCGAGGATCCTGAGTTTTCAGTGCTTCCGATAAACTAGTCAGAGGGCAGGATTAGCCATGGATATTGTCGATTTCAGCTATTTGTGAAAAGAAAGCTCGCAACCACAGTGAAACATATCGTCTGATGAATGTCCTTATCCGAAATACAACCCGACTTCCTTGAATGCATGCAATAGATTTCAATCCTTCCCCGAAGGGGTTGGGGGACGAAAATCCCTTTAAATTTTCTCTGTCTTCCCAACTGGGATTGTCCTGATAAAGGGCCTACATTTAATGTATGTATGTAGGTAAAAGTAAACATGCACTGAAAATGAAGAAACTATATCGTTCAAAACAAATAAATTTAAAGGGGTTTTCTTCGCCCAACTCCTTGGGAAAGTGTTGAATCCGACTTCTGTTTCGTAGCCGCCCCAAGGCGGACTTCTTTCGATACCCCTCCTTTAGCTCCGCGCCACTTACCTTCGATTGTCCGTAGAATGTGGGTTTCTGTGAGTTTGTTTTCTTTTCGGGTACTGAATCTTTGTGCGTGAAACTTTACATGTTGTCTCTTGAGAGCAAAACTGACATGTGTTTGGGGGAAGAACAGAAGATTTTTTCGGGGAGGATTTCTTTTAGCTGAGCTTTCTCTGGGCAGTAGCTGTGACTGACAAAAACCTCTTCGGCCAGCAATTCACATAACGCCCTAGTGATCCACAAGGGGGCCTCGCTGAGCTCGAACTGTGCACCATCTTCTAATGTTCATCTGATATCGTCCGTGCAGAAGGTTACTATGTTGTTTGATAGACAGGAATGTGCTCCTCAGTCTCCAGAAGGATCATTCGGTTTGAATTTATCATCGTATAACTTCTGTTCAAATGGGAGTGTGAAGATCGTCTTTAGCCCCCCCCCCCCGTATCCTTTTGTGACAAAGTTTCCCAACAATCCCTAAAGATCTTTACACTATTGCAAATGTGACGGTCAAAAAATGCGCGACAATGTTTCTTTAGGAATTAGTATTATTATTAATTAAGGGCGGAAGTGGTGTAGTGACAAGTGGCGCGCTTACCACGCGAGCGGTCCGGGGATCAAATCCTGGGTCGTGAGTCGCCCGGGCCAACCAAGCCTTCCATCCCTCCGGGGTCGGTTAATTGGTACCAGACTTGTCTGGGAGGATAAAAACACTGACTTGAACATCGGCTGGCCCCCGCAAGTCATTGTATAGGCCACATCGCATTCAAAAGCCACTGCGAATGTACAAATGGAAGTAGAATGCGTGCAAAAAGGGCTGTATCAACGGCAAGTGCTCCATCCTTTTTTTTATGTGCCATGAAGGAATTGTTGTAGAACATAATTCATAATTACAAATAATTTTATAAACTACCCAATCTCTGGGGAAATTTTATCAGTAGACTAAATACGTTTTGTCAAAGTGTTCTTGACTAGTTTCTTCATTTAAAAAAAGAGTTGGAAATATGTGAACACTTCAGCATTTTGCAGAATCCTTTTATGACTACCTTGGAAAACTCGTACAAATAATGAATGTGAAGGGCCTGACAAAGGACCGAAGTGGCAGCGATTCTTAATGTTTGCTGATACATCTGATTCACGTGTTCCTTGTTCGTGACTATGTCTTATAGGCCACTCTTGACATTTTCTTCTGAAAGAAATTTGTGTACAAAGATCGGAACAGAAAGAAGCATATCAAGCCGCTGACCTTGGACATACTCCTATGCATGATGGTCGAGTATGTGCGCCTTGGACATGGACAATAGATTCCTAAATAGTAAAAATTCATGGCAATATAATATTTGGGATAATTCCGTGAATGTAATACTGAACGTATAAAGGAGCCGAAATTGGTGGCAAATTTAGCACCCAAACTGGATTTCAATTCAACTTGATCTGGCTCCAGTATACTTTCCTGTACATATGTTACGTAACTCACCATCGCCACCGGGTTCTCCTGCAGATCCGGGAGCTCCAGGCATTCCATCCTCTCCAGGTCTACCGGGCTCTCCCGCTAATCCTGGCGGTCCCATCATTCCTGGAGGTCCCATGCCTCCTGCCATTCCATCATTACCTGGAGGTCCCATTGGTCCTGGTGGCCCAGGTGGACCTGCAGGTCCCATTCCACCACCACCGCCACCTTGTGCATCCATTCCAGGTTCTCCGGGTTGTCCTGGTGGACCAGGATTACCTGGCGCTCCAGCATCACCCATAGGTCCCGGTGGACCCATCACTCCCAACATAGGACCACCTCCCCCACCACCAGCTGAACCAGGAGGTCCAGGAGGTCCCATGCCACCAGGAGGACCAGGTGGCCCGGGAGGGCCCGGTGGACATTTTATGCATCCTTCCATTCCTCCTCCTCCACCGTAAGCTTCTCCGGCGCCACCAGGCTGACCAGGAGCTCCGGGAGCACCATCCAGACCTCGAAGTCCTGGTTCACCTGGAGGTCCAGGCGGACCCGGGGGACATGCACCACCAGCTCTCTGGCCGCAGTTGCATTGCCCTCCTCCTCCTCCCCCTCCTCCTCCGTATCCGCCTCCTCCTCCTCCGAATCCGCCTCCTCCTCCTCCTCCTCCGAGTCCGCCTCCTCCTCCACCTCCTCCTCCTCCGCCTCCTCCATATCCTCCTCCACCTCCTCCGTATCCTCCACCGCCTCCTGCTGATGGGTATGAACCTCCTCCACCTCCTCCGTATCCTCCACCGCCTCCTGCTGATGCGTATGAACCTCCTCCTCCATATGCTCGTGCTCCACCACCATACGCTCTGGCTCCTCCTCCGTATGCTCTGTATCCGTGGCGCTTGACACGTTCAAGCGACGACGTGAATGGATTCGTTGCCGGATTGGATTTAGCCGGGATGGTCAGCTCAGTCATCGCTTCCCATGCACCAGTGGAAAGATCCTGAAATAACTCAATTTTATATGTGTTCACTTCGGTGTTATTTCCAACTGCAAATTTCAGTGGTTGAGTGCCTTCTAGCAGACAGCATATCATAGCAGAGTTATGACTCCATAGGTAGGCTCAATCACCCTCCGCTGATCAAATTTAATGGGGTCAATGTAAAATGAAGACTCTTGGGTTTCACGAACACTATAGGCAAATTCTTCAAATGCAAAAGGCACACAAAAATTCCCCAAACCCTTCACGAGTGGTGCTCAGCAACAAAGTATTATCGATTCATCTCGAATGCGCCATGTACTCTGCTTTTTTCGTAATTGCAGATGTGTTATTCATAACCGCCTGTAGAAGATTGAATGGAAAACTTGGCAGTACGATTGCGAGGCCGTTCCAGGCAGTTTGAATAAGATCTGGATAAATGGCTGTGTTTCGCTTCTGTCTGCATACAGGTGTGTTACGCGTGGAACATTTATTCATTTGTCGACGTTCGAACAAACTAGTGGCGGGACCTTAGCAGCTCCACGTGCAGCTGCCAAGTGTCGTCCGTCCAATTCCAAGAGTATAATGTGGAGAAAATCTGGATAAATCCCCGAGAGAGCCGTAAGGTGTGGCGAGCCGTCGGACAGTACGCTGCAGTGCACGACACCTAATAAGGATGTGAGAGAGCCGAACCAGCTCATTTGAAATGAGAGGTGGCATACCAATCACCATGTTTGGGCAGGGTGGACATCAGCTTATCAGCTTTAGACAATGAAGCCTAGGAACGTCTGAAATGGCGGAGAGGAGCTGTAGGAAAGAGCCAAAGGAGTTCGATAGTGACGAGAAGATAAGCGCAGACTGTACGAGCGATCAACGGTAAAGCCCGATTGAAGTGAGGTTGGCGTAATTCTGTTCGCTAGTAAGTGAATGAACTTACTAGGAAGTAATCAATAAATGGATTCGATTCATAATTCATAAAAATGTTCAGAAGGGACATGCTAGCCTCAAGGGATCAGTCCGCTCCTTCGGTAGCAACAGTCGACTTTGTCTAGCTTCAGAGAACTTTCTAGCCTGTTCGTCGTAAGGTGAGATATTTATCGCAACTAAATGAGGCCTTCCTGTAGATTAACGGTTTACTCCTAAGCAGGCATCGTCCACTTTTTACTCTAACGATCGCAGAGAAAACCCGTCGCCACTATCATAACCTTCACAGGGAAGCAAGTCTCGCATTATAAAGCCGGCTAGTTCAAGAACTTCAGATGGGTTAGCGTTGGAACTGTCCGCCGATAGTGCTCCCGCTCTGAAACTCTGCATTTTAGTGCGCTTTTGTCATTGGTCACTTTTCAGGGTATTCTGCTTGTGGCATCCATCTTCCCTAAGAGTTTCGCTATGCTTTCGTTGACGGAATGAATTCCCCGCCTGGTTTTCTGATAAAGCAAATCCTTTTTTCATCTTCTCAATTAAATTTACCTTGTTAAAAAAAGACCTTAAAGGTGACAGATTAGGAATGAGCCCAAGGGAATACGCACATCTCCCAATTCTATAAAGCAGCCGTCAGGGATACTTTGATAGTCGCATGGATTTCCGTCGCAAGAGTTTACCGTTACCCACTGTTTCTTTACTCAATGCTTTCTCAACACCATATTACTAATGGGATGACGTTTTCGCTGACTCGGTTGTGATTTGATCCATGGTGCATAGTTGAGGCAGCAGCGCCTCATCAAAAAGCACCACTCGATCCCACGGACATTTAATAAGAACTTTCTGAAAACCACTCGTAGTCGAATGTGAATGCATTGAAATGCCAGTCTTCGGCTAGGCGACTTTTTGAGCCGTGTTCGATAAATTGAAAACACCCTTTGAAGGTCGCAGGGGTGAGCCTGGCACCGACGCGTCGTTCACTTGGTAATCTCAAACGGAAAAAAGGGCAAGGATGGGGATAAAATAGGAGCCGTTTCCTACGAGATAAGTTCATGGGAAGGCGAAATAAAAAAGCTGCCCCTTTGCTGAAAAAGAGCTGCACTCTCCCCTAATAGGCTAAAAAACATCCACTGGAGGATGGTGTTGCGAAGTAAGAAATGTTCATCTCATGTTTTCTTTCAGTGTTATCCCTTAATCCCGTCATTTGGCCCGCGCTTCGACTGGCCAGCATATTTTAAGGGTCGTGTGCCCATGTGTTTGGCAGAAGTGCTCGCGAACAGTTTCTTGGAGCGATTCCCTAACTGCGTTAAGCAAGGGTAGCTACTCGAAAGTACGCTCTGCGCCGCTAAGGCGTCAATCTTGGCCGCTGGGGCGAATACCGCTGGCCACTTTTGCTCGTTCGCAGCTACACGCGTCTGCTGTGTACGGTGTGGGCCGTTCCATACCACTCGCTTGTCCGCTCTCCCTGTGGTTCTGTGTCTCTCTGGCGTACTACGGTAAATTTTGCAAGAAAAGGATGCTCCATTTCACTTCTTTCTTACGGTAGTTTTTGATTTTTTTTTCATTTCGGACGGAATAGGCACCGATTCGATGCGGCCTGCCCATCACCGGCTTCAGAGGCTCCCAAATGACAAAGCTAAGCTCCCTTTGACCATCGCTTAGCGAACATAGGGGTTGCGCCGATTTTGCGGACAGGACGTGCGTAACAGATGTGGGATTTTGTGACAGAGGAAAGAATGTGCTCATCAGGTCTGGGACCTGCCTCACAATGAAAATAATTGGAGAGTGCGTGAATGGTCCTTTTGATCTCTCGGGTGCTATCGCATCTCGTAGGACTAAGCCCAGGAGAGGGCAGGAACTTCACAGCAAACGGAAATTGCTCACGCGTTTTGAAGCCTTTTCTCCTCCGCCTAAGGCGTTGCCTCGTTCTTAGCCAAAGAGGAGATGTTTCCACAATGTCCCCGTACCTTACGATTGCGCTACCCCTCGTTTTTTTCGACATCTGCCTCCTTTCAGCACCTCGCGTTCCTTCAAGCAGTCTCACTCTTTCAAAAGCGGCCACAAAAAAGCGAGGGCTTTTTATAGGACTAAAGCTTTCGGCCCTCTAGGTTTTTAATAATTTGAACTGTTTTTGCTTTGCCCAAATTCACCTTTTGTAATTCACCTTTATTGAAGGCAGACAGAGTATTCCCTTCGCAATTATAGCAACACTGCATGAAAAGAGCATGTTGTAGAAGTAAGTCCATGTACTTTAACAATTCGCTAATATTGTTCAACAATGCTAACAAAATTGCAGTGAGAACGGGTTTCGAGATGACAATTATGAGACTTGCTCTCCATTTCCTCCTAACCCCAAAAAAGCCGGAATGTTGTATTGATGCTTGATCAAAGGAAATCATCAACTTTTGTTGACATAGGGAAACTAGTAGGCCTCAGCCGGTAAAGAATGCTTGCAGTTGCATATAGACGTTCAAAGTCAACTGTGTTCTGAATAATTTAATAAATCAGAGACAAATCTTACTTCTTACTTCTCGACCGCTATTCGTCCCGGGCACGCCAGAAACGCAGGTCGCACATCTTCCAGGTCGCTCTGCTTCGGGCTCTTCTGCGCCACAACTGGCCGTACATCTTCACGAGAGGGTCTGCCCATCTGGTGGGGGGTCTGCCTCTGGGCCTTGTTTTTCCCCTTGGGTACCAGTCAGTCACTCTCTTCGTCCAGCGATCAGAGACAAATGCTAATGCCTAATTCTTAAAAAGAAGCAAATCTGGCATCAGTGTCAGAGACGCTGCATCCCATTAATGCAGGTCACGGGATTGAAGCCGGCTAGGAAAACAGAGCTAACCAAAGTTACGTTCCCTACGCTGGATGAATGCTTTATGAGGGTTTTTTTGCGAAAGTATGAACACCTATGTTAACTTGGTAGTGCAAGCCAAATTTATTTCAATCAGCTGTGCGAATTTAAATGAATACCGAATACGTGGCGCATTTCCAGCCCAACCGCAGTTTCTTACCGCGGGAGCCTTTGTTTGCTCGGATGGGCTCCGTTCGCTTTATAACTCTGAAATTTTCGTCACTACGAAGGCATCCACCCGAGGATCAAAACTGGTGTCGGAGCACGAAAGTATTGATGCAAAATGGGCTGACGGTCAAGAAAATAGGAAAAAAGGGACTCAAACGCTTACATAGGCTGTCCAAGACAATGAGAGACTGAGCGCGAAGGTGAGAGCATGAGGCGAGAGAATGCAACAAACGAGAGAACTTCAGATAACAGCCTGCTGCAGGCGGGGAAAATTGAAGCTGTCGAAGCTATCTTTGCAAGGCGCTAGCGCTCTTATCGGGTGGTTCCTATGCACGGTAGTATGTCTCGATGATTTCTAAGGTTCTGTCCTACACCTCTAAGGTTCTGTCCTACAAACCAAGGAGAATTCTTCACGCGTCTTTTGCCTGTGTCCTTAGAAACAGCCGGTAAACTACTCTCTTCCACTGGCTAAGGACAGGATGTTAGGAAACAGAGACGAACCTTGAATTCGACCATGTCCTTCATCACATCGTCGAAGAAGTCGCTCATGTCGTTGAACATGTAGGGAAGCCGCGAGAGCATATTGTGATGGGCAATCGCACGCCGCCTGAAACGGCCACAAGTCAACCAACGTCTTTCGCCTTCATGCCGTTGTGTTTGGAGACCTCCTTTGCCGTCGCCCGCCACTCACCAGCTTTAAAGCGATCGCAGGCCGCGTTCGACCTTGGCGTTTTTCGGCCGTCAAAATGCCATTGAAGAGCGCAGTACTGGCCGGCCGGGTCTGATTTGTCAACTGTCCTCTGGTCTACACAATAACCATACTGTATTAACGGAGAAACAACTTTTTTCGGCAGTGTAAAGTGGTACATCACTTCACAGCGATACCAACCGAGACCATTTTGTTTTGGTGGTGCAACTGTCCGGAACCGAACCATGACTTACTTGATTGAATCAAAAAATTTCGACCGCTTTCCCTGGCGATAAAATGGCTTGCGTTTGTCGAACACGTCCTTCGAAACATTGCGTCCTACTTTTACCGCTGCTTGGAGAGGGTCGACCTTTCGTTGCAACAGGGGATCGAATCTGAGCTTTTGGAGGGGGTTCATAGGTTGTTGGCGGAGACCCAAGGGTGACAACTGGGGAGTCGCGTCTATGGAAATCATGGGGTCGTGACTGCGGAGAGAGAGGTCGTACTGGAGGGGTCCTTAAGCCTGATGGTGGTGGAGGTGGGCGTATAGGCCCTCTAAGAGGGGAGCAGGGTCGTAAAAAGTTCTGAAATTGTAACAACCGCCGGTTGATCCTGCTCAAAAGTCTCACTCAGCCGGTGCCAACCAATCAAAACTCTTTTCATCTCAGGTGTTTGATTGATGCGGGGATTGTTTATAAACAATAAAAGCACTGTCTGAGCAGCAAAATGTCCCAGGTTGCATTGCACATGCCAGCATAGACCTTCAAAATGTGCCTCCCGCTCTCACAGCCGAAGTTGAATATGCGTGGCCTCGTATCGGGAGACTAGCGCTTTGTGAATCGTTGATTCCAAGAACCTGACATAGTGGTAGCACGCCTCCAAAAAATATCCTTGCCCTAATTGAATCGGATTCGGTCCAGTCGAGGACAATTTGACCTTGGTGCGGGAATTAAAAAGGTAGTTCATAAAAAATAGTTTCGAAGACAATGCCTGGAGACGTACTTGAAGTTAGCGAACGCTCTTTCTTATCGCGGGTTTCCTCGCAGGAGCTCAAAAACTGCCAGAACGCTCTGGTTATCGTAATTCTCTCAGCGTGATTAATTACTGCTTTGAATCATGAAAGTTCATGAAGTATAAAAACGTGGGTATCAAACTGTGGAAAGTTTCTGAGTTTTGCAGTTCGATGAATGAGTCTGCCGTAAAATTTCGGTAGAAGGGGGGGAAAGTCGTTGTGTAGTAGGAGGCGAACGGGCATCACTTTTCTCAAACGGAATTTTTCTAGCCAAATGAATAGCGATGGCTGCCGCACTGCCGCTGCTCTTCAATACTGGAAATCCTAACTTTACTATAAGTCACTCGATTATGAGCTGCGTGACCATACCACTTGCTAGTGGGCGTAGCATGATCCAATACTGTAAGCCTTCAAAGAGTGAAGTATGAGCGTGTGGCCTAGGTATCACGGCGCAAGAGCACGCCGTATACTGTCAAGCAAAAAAAAAAACAGCCGGCATAGATTAGCAAAACACGGATCCACTCGTGAAAACTTGCGCTGGTTGTGGTCATTTACAGAGCCACTGCGGCCAAATACTTCGACAGCTTCGGATAGAACTCGAGTACATGGCGAATCCCAAAAGAAACTGATCAGTGAAACGCAACGAACTTCTTGCTTCCGTCTTTCCGTTTACTAAATACTTAAAAATTCAGATGGAAAGAAAAGCTTTTCCCGAGTTGTGCGGCGGAACTGAGGTCGTCAAGTCAGGCGGTAATAACAAACTAAAATATTGACTCCGCGGAACGCGAATTTGGAATCAACTGAACAGACCCCGACCTTCCCTTCATGGTCAGGTAGCAGCAGGAACAGCAGGAATACATCATCCCAAGGCAGGTGATTCCTAGGCAAGCAACTCCCTCGCTCTCTCCCAGCTAATACCATATTTCTCCACTACCTTGCATTAACCCCTTCGTCCACCTTTACCATTTTCTCCCCACTTTCAAACCGTCTTCTGACTTTCACGAAATTCCTCAGGTCGAATATATAACAAAAAAACATTTAAAAAGCCCTTGCAACTAACTGAAAGGATGAAGAATTCTACTGTAAGTACGCCATGTATTCCTCTACTAATCAAAATCGTTGTGGGTCGAATGGAAATTGGATAAAACGTGCTCGGAATTGACCGGTTGATGTACATGTGAGTGTTTTATCCTCCCAAACATGTCCCGACCAACTAATCGTCCCTTGAAGGATGGAAGGACTGTTTGGCAGTGGGATTCACCCCGGGTCCTAACTCCAAGCCGTCCACCGTCGAGAGGCGCTACTTGTCACTACAGCAATTTTGCACCAGAGATTTATTGAATAGCCATGTCTTGATAAGTCCATTCCAAGCCCAGAATTTAGAATGCAATCCATTCCATTCTTTCATTTTTCGGCCATTCTCTCTCAGAGAGTCCAATGTCTCCGCTTTTCCCTCTCAGAGATTCCTCGACCCACAGCGTAAGCCGTGGGAAGGCCTACAATATCCTTCCGTGCTACAATCAGTCATCATTAGCGCCATCATCACCGTCATCGAGCCATTAGCCAGACGCAGCCATGTCGTATTTACAGTGGTGCATGGGGCTTTAATGAACCATCTTGACACATTGATGATCCCGCGGAACACATACCCTCTATTTCGGAAGACGAGAAGAGTGTCGAGTGCAGACCACACACCACAAAAGACGACGGCAAAAAAGCCACTTTTTTCTTGGCCGTCGTCTCTTGTGGTGTGTGGTCTGCACTCGACGCTCTTCTCACTTTCCGAAATAGAGGGTATGTGTCGCACATCACGCGGAGAAGACTGTTCTGTTAAATTTGTGTTTCCATTTCCAAAATAGCATACTCATTACCAGTAATGAAACTGCAGATGGGAAAAGATGTGTGAGTGCACAACGGCGGTCTTCAACGTAATAGCCTGAACATAAGCTTATCATGTTTCTCTTCCGAAACTTCTTGCCTCTCCTTATCGATAAGCACACTTTTGAAAAATTCAAGCTTGTCCCATTTTCCGTTGCCTTCAATCAAAACAAATCACGTCAGAGCGACTTCATCCAATTATAGATTTGTTGGAAGGGAAACAGTCTACCTCATGAACGAGCACTTTGATGTTGTTTAGCAGAAAATGTCTGTTCCTTTGAAGGTAATAGAACATGATATTGATCCAAAAACGGCTTCGTTCACACAAATTTCATCTACCGGTTCCACCAATCGTTCGTGTAATTGAAAACAAAATCACTTTGAATGCAGTACCAGTTCGGAGCAAAATTGTTCTCTGATTCGTTGAAGGACACATGCACTTTCGTATTCAACAATTCCAATCAGAACTTCACTTTACTTAGGCGTTTGTTCAACAATGATAGACACGTCTGGCCGATTTCATATTTGTACACCCTCCTCTCCTCCTTAAAGGGGTAACTGTTCATATGACCTCATTCCAGCGATCCTTGATGCCGACGTGTCGTTAAAGGAATCTTCCACGGAAAAAGCTCCGCCCTCATTACCACAGAAAACGATACCTTAAAGGAATCTTCCACGGAAAGAGTGATCATTTTGTCTTGTGTGTAGGATTAGTATTATCGAAACTATGAGGCTAGGGGCCTAAGGTATCGTTTTTCTGTGGTAATGGAGGCGGAGCTTTTTCCGTGGAAGATTCCTTTAACACATTCACGACGACGCCCCTTTTCCACTTTTCGGTCGCGTGGGACGGACGCGATTTTGTGGGCGCCGCCGCCTCACCACATAACCGCAGATTTTGTTTTGTAAATGAACAAAAACATGAATGTCACAAAATAATTTCTGCAAATCCATTATTCGTTTAGCAATCTTAATAGTTGAGGAACTCTTTCTTTTCAAGCTTTATTGGTGAGCTTTCGCTGATATAACAGCTTCCTCAGACCTAGAAGAATTATAAGCATATCACAATTAAACAGCCTTTACAATACTTATAGCAAATGACAACTAACTGACCAGGCGGCTACTTTCAATTAAGGAATTCGCTTGATAGCGAGTGCCTCTAGCACTTTTCTTTCCAAGGAGGCATCCTTCGAGCGGTGGAGCACGGTGACTTTTATGGCAGGAGGCGGTTCTTGTCCGTGGTAAAGTGTACGATGACGCGAAAAACCGCTGTTTGGATATGACGAAAGGGTTTCTCAGCGCTCGTACATGCTCATCAATCCTTTTGTATAGCGGCCTCATGGTTTCCTCCGACGTACTTTGGCATCGCAGCATACTTCAACAAGTGCCAAATAAACGGTCCCTTGTAACTGGCAGATCTTCTTATCCGTGCAGTACGAGCAGTTTCTTCGACCACACTTCTCTTCGTAGAGCCTCGATGACGAGCAAGCCTTTGATGTTCGTTGGTGGGCGAAATATTAAGTTTACTGGAAGGTTCGATGACTTCACGATCTGGTTCACTTTCTTTGCTATGCCTTCGTTCACATACGGTAGTATCAGTGGTATTCCTCCAGCAGTAGAGAAAGGACGCCATGATCGTGGTTCACACGTGGTGTAGCCGTTGTCTTCCAATATTCTAGAAATACTTCGCTCCACTTCTGCTGACTCTCGAGTGCAGATCCTTGTCTTCGTCGTGATAAGATTCGTATCCACGTTTACCTTCATATACAATGGATGAGCACTGCGAGAGTGCAAAATAATAGTCTTGGACACCAGGTTTCTCCCACATGACGTACTTCCTTGGTGCCCCATGCCAGCCGGAACTCTTTTGTATAGAACGTGAAGAAAACCGCACCTCAATCGGATAATATTATATCATCAGGCTACTGTCGTTTACGATGAGTCTACATTTTCTGCTTCAATGTAAGATGCATAGAGTGTTAGCCGAAGTTTCTTGAAACTGCGCTT